CAGAATGATTTTATCAATTATCAATTATCATCAGATCGCTATCGAATTCGAAATCGAAGAGAATTGAAATTATCTTTATCAAATTCGAGCAGAACAAATGAATTGAACATATATCTTATCAGAGTTCGTAGATGAAAATTTATAATAAATAAAATCATTTATTATAAAATAAAATTTATAATAAATAAAAACAAAAATTAGTCGAATCAAAAATGCGATAACCACTCTTAGTTAGTGAATGGAAAATAGTCACAATAGTTATTGCTTAGATTTTTTCGGTTCGGATTCTAACCTGTTACTTAAGAAATCTGAAAATTATTGGAGGCCTACTTGCCATTGTAACTCGTTAACTAGTGAATTAAAAATTTCTGACAATTCAGCGGAGCGATTCTAATCAAAAATGGTAAATGCTAAACATTATGCGAGTTATCGATATAGTTTTGAGTTTTAACGATTTCAAATTACTGGGTCTCATTCTTAGAATAAGGCAGGAAAAATGGCGAGAAATGGTGCAAGAACGTAGAAAGAAAAAAAAAATAATGAAGAATGGCAATTATGAGTGGCTTGAAAACACCTTACTTTTTTGGTCATCGAAATCAGTTTAACCATTAATATTGCCCGTTATATGAAGAAATAAAAAAAAATGAAATTAAACAGCTCTCACCATTACTGGTTAAAAAATAGCTCGGGTGACTACTATAAGGTTGCGCGATCTGATGACCATCGCTGATAATAATAGAAGCATTCTTTTCACCGTCTAAGTCTCTTTATCACTCGTCCCCCTTTATGCTCAATATCTTTCCTGTGCTACTGTATCAATCCAGGTCTTGGTCTCGCTTTAGACACCACACATGGATCTAGCAAGCAACGAAATACGTGTCTATTCTACTGGTAGGTGACGAAGAACGTGCCCCTAACCAGCGAAGACGTTCTGTGATGGTTAATGCAAATAATATTTGAGCGAAGGTGAATGCAATCATATGCGATATTATCCACTTGGCTGACCCATAAAATATATCTTATGAGTGGTCAAAGGCTTCTTATAATAATCTCATTAGCTAAGTTCCGTCGCCATATAGTAAATTGAGCGAAATGTAGCTATATGAACGCAGACTTTCGTTTTTATGTTGACTTTGCCACTGCTCCATAAAGACTTCGTCAACCGGACGAATTAATTATTCCACTTGACAGATAATGAATAGTGAATAGGACATACCAATAACGATTCTCCACTTCGCGTAAAGCTCCTTTCCCTTCTCTCACTCCCCCTCCTTCAATCTCCCTTCTTATGAAATTATTTCAGAAGATAATAAAATTTTTGAAATATATTGAAATGATTAAAAATGATTAAAAATGATGAAATAAAATGAAATATTTTCTTCATTAGTTCCTTTCAATTAAAATGAAAAAAATAAAATAAAAAATGGAAAATTTTTGATTTTCCATATGTAAAATACAATAATAATTGTTATTATCAAAAATATATTAAAAATATTTTTAACGATTCACAAAAAAAAAAACAAATAATAATCCCAGAATATGAATGTCATTTGTCGTCAATAATTTTTAGCAAATGTGGAAATATAAAAAAAATACTTAAAATAAAATGTTTCTAACATAATTCACGTAGCAAACGCTTTATAAGCTTTGTGATTTCCGATTCAAACCAAATATTTGTCTTCTAAAAATCAGTTAACAAATGAATTATTACGCGCTTTTATTGCTCATTCTTTACGGTATGTATGACTATTTTTAGAATTAAATGAATAATTTTGTATGATTCGTATGAATAGGTGGCTCAATCGAAGCTTTGGCCTGAATCAAACCTGAATTACCACGGTTCGTCGGGTACCATCGCCTAAGCGAGAAAATCAAGAGGAATAGAATGGCTCAGTGGATTGATGATGAATTTGAAGATTCGATGCTGAGGTTCTATTCCCTGCAGGAACAAACAAATTTATACTTCAAAAAAGCAGTCTGATGCTACCGACTCATCTTTATTTTTATTTCCAAGGGACTCCCTGGTGGAAATTTGTCTATTACGACAAACCAGTGGAATTTAACCAGAAATGATGAATATGATCATTCAAAAAAATATGATCATTTTCAAATTTATTATTGTTATTTATTATTTGAATATTTTCATGTAATGTGCAATAGGAAATTTTGAATATTAATTCTCAATTCTGAATATTAAATTTAACAAGTGACCATAAAATATTGGATTATTAATTATAATTTCTAAACAATGGTTGATTTCAGTTACAATTCCTCAGTTATACACGGAATCGATTCCAGAAGGTTGTGCTTTTTCCTTATTTCTTTTCATATTTACAAGTATTCCAGGATTTGACTTTGAATAATTGTAATTTTTTGCACATAGTGATAATCTTCCTTCATATTTATTCCTTACTATTATTATTGGAGATAAATTTTTATTCGAAATTTTAAAAAATTACCCCATAAATGTTATAAATTTTAAGAGCCAAAAAGTCTGCAAATGTTTCCCTAAATAATGAAAAATTTTCAGTTGACGAAGAATGTTTAGAAGAAGAAGATGGAGGTAAATAGTATTTTTCGATTTCGTGTACCAGTACGATTTTCGTTCAACATAATTCTTCGTCTAGTTCAGAAATCAGTCGTCATTCTTGGCATATACTGATTAAATTTGGCTTTAAAGAATTTCCTCCACCATACAATAGTTTAAGAGACACGCCGTTATCACATATCATCACAGATATCATAGCTCATTTCACTGAACATTTCGCGAATTATGATTGTTTCATGAAAAAAAGCGAAACAGTTTATTTCGCATATTATCAACTAATCGAGCAAACGCCTCCTATTAAAAGACATAATATTCCAGTATTTGTGAAGCATCTGATAGTCAGGATTTGGCAGCTTTTCGTTCAACTGCACGGCTAACATATTTATGAGTGGCATTCCTAGAGTGGATATGACCAACTTCTGAAGATCCTTTAATTGGGTCCATATTTATCAGCCATTTCGGCGAAATTTTGCAGCATTGAGATATTTCGATAGTCCGATTTGTATTGTACAAAGATCTTACTTGAGATAAATGCAGGTCTTGGGGATGCTCTTTCTTGCTTATTATTAGATTCATACGGATTTTGGCTTTCCGTTGGATCAATAGATAAAAAGCCGGAAAGTAGTAGAAAGGGTTAAAGATGAAATAATACTTTAAATTTTATATTAATTATATTTCGGAATATTTGTATCCTATGATTTCGATTGCATTAAATTTTAGAATTTTTTTGCGCTAGCAAACCAATTTTTTATAGAAAAACCAGTTTTTTATAGAAAAACAAACTTATGGTGCAACATATCTTTTCAATTTGTCATTTAATTTGGAATATCCGAAAATTTATAACAAAAATGAAATTCTTTCTATTAGGATGAATCCTTGTAATCATTGAAATGAGCGTTTTTTGCTTAAATTTACCGAAAAAAAAACCTATAAAATCCTTTAATATGAAAATATTTATCATGAGAATAGTTAAATTTACCATAATTTTTTGTTCATTTCCAAACATTTTTCTTTATTTCATTCATAAAATTATTTGGCGAAAAATATTTAATTTATTTAAATTTCTTAAGAAAGAATTATTATATTTTAAATTATAACAAATTTTGACAAGTAAGAAATAAATTATAACAAATAAATTTTTATAATAAATTATTTTGCACTGTTATAATAAATCCCAATGGTCGGTAAAGCATCTGATAGTCAGCATCTGGCAGCTTTTTCGTTCAACTGCACGGCTAGCATATTTATGAGTGGCATTCCAACAATGGATATGACCAACTTCTGAAGATCCTTTAATTCATCTGAGTTCATTCCTCGATGTAGAATCTTCCCATAACTTAGCTTATTAACCTTATTTTTTTTCTTTTTATTCGACATATTAAAATATCGCTTATAGTTTGTAGTTGTGTTGAATTTATCATTGACTTTTTCTCCCTCTTTTTCTAATATTTCTCATCACTGATGGAACTGCTAGAGTAAAGCATTTATCATTGAAATTGCCATCATGACATTGCCATTTATTTCATTAGGAACATTATTAATGTAAACGGAAAAACTTAGTTTCGAGCTTAATTTCTAGTCGATAATAAATCTCAAGATTACACATAGTTGGCAGAGTTAATAGATCGTCTGATGCACTTTAACATTTTCAAACAGATTTAAATTATTGAATTCAGAAAACGAATTTCACCGTAATAATTATAGTTTTAAGTTTTTTCCCCTCCCCGTGTAGAACGTCAATGCAGATTCGCATTGTAGCCGATAAGCTTAACTCTTAAATTTCTTTATTTTAATTTTAAACCTCTCTTGGTCCAATTTTATTTTTAATAGGAGTGAAAAATGAATGCGGAGATGAATCGAAAATTTCCGATGGATTGCGTAAGCGCTTGCTGGATGTATTCAACAAAAACCATGAAGGCGACAGAATGGTTATATTGTTACTAATAAACTAAGAATGAGAAAGATAAGAGTGAGATGAAAGATAATTTTTTTTAACGAAAAGAACTCTGTTCCTACATTTTTCCTGGCATTTTCTATGAGCTGTAGGGTGTTTCATTCAATTTCATTCAATTTAAAGAGCTCACACCATAACTGGTTTGACTCGCTCTACTGGCTTATCGCACTAAACAAATATGCCAGGGAGTCCCTTGGAGATAAAAATACAAGTGAGTCACCAAAATACAACCGGATTTTCGGACAGTTTACTCTTGGGAATAGAACCTCAACAACGGCGCTCAACAAATTAAGCAACAAGCTATTGAGCGGAATCTTGCTTAAAAATAATTATTTTTCCATCATGCAACCTTTTGTATATCTGAATGGGCTATTTCTTTCTTCTTTGACTGCATCAGTTCTCGAGTGAGCCAAATGATATTTGGACAACGTTGACCGATTAGGATACCTCTAATAAAACCTTTCTTAGTTATGTCCATAAGTGATTTTGAAACAATGTATGAACGTTATTGTGGCTCCAGTAATCATTATGCGGGTCATTACCAGTGTCTTCGTCAAATCATCTATTTCTATCCGTTTCTATCGAAGGAACTTGAGTATTTCCCCTGCCTAATATTTTTATTTCCGTCACTATCTTTCCCTTCCCAACCTTCGCCGTCTCGTCCACTTACCACTCAACCATAAGATTTGGGTAAAATTTGCATCGGGATTCACGAGCATTGCTTGATTTTCCTATGGCCTTTCAACTATCAAATCTCTATTTAAGCAGATCTCTAGCGAATCCCTAATTAGTAATCTTTATTCTAAAAAGGTAAAGCAGTTTTTGAAAAAGGCTTAGAGAGAAAATAATCTTCATTGTTGATTTAACAATGTTATTTTAAATTGATAGTCAAATTTAAAGAAATGGGACTGCGACTTAGAAAAAGAGAAACAAAAAGAGTTGGAAGAAGATAAAGATAAAGGCAGATGCGGCACAAGAAATTCGACAACAGTCGATTCTTCAGGTGGTTCGGGCTTCTTGTTTCACCGCCGCAAAGAAGGGAATGACGAAGGTATTATTTATATTGCTAATATTTTCATTTTATCATTTCTCATTGAAGATATTGTCAAAAATTTTCTAAAATAAAAGATTTTATTTATTCCCAAAAGAAATTTTTCAAAATAATTTTTCCATTTCGAAAATTTTCAGATGGAATTTTAAAATAATTAAGAAAATTGAAGCAAGCAGAGATAAATTAATCGTTCAAAGTCGATATTATTTTCATTTATATTTTCAGAAGATGTTGCAGAAGGAATAGCGAAAGATTTGATGGAACATTCGCCGTATAGTGTAAGTATTAATAAAAAAAGCGATTAAAAAAGTTTCTTGAGAACTTTCCAAAAATTTTCTTTCAGTAAAAACGGCTAAAATTGCTTTTTAGATATATTCCATTTTATTTTCAGGATCGTTCCAGCGTAGCGACAAGATGTGGTTGTGGAATGCAAACTTGCCGGAAGAAGAGAGGCGGTTTTGACGTCGTTGAATTAAGTTGTTACTTCCGCAAAAATTAGATTGTAGTAGGAGGAAATTTTGAGATTTCCATGGAAAAGAAATAATCAATAATAAAAAAATCTGCCTAAAAATTTTATGAAAACCAATAAATTTTTTAAAGACGAATCATTTCCACATGTGTCTTTTCACAATCTTTTCACAATAACAACAAACTAACAATTAAATAAAACCATTTAAAGAAAAAAAGCTGTAATTATTTTTGCAATTATTTTTCATTTTTCTCCAAAGGCAGATACATCAAATTCGTCGCCTTTGGCGATTTAGATTTTTTAGATTTTGGCCATTAATCATTCATTCTAAAGCAATTGTAGATCTTTGCCTTTGTAAGTTTTTCTTAGACTCTTTAAGCATCAGATTGATTGTTTCCAGTTTTCCTCTAGTACTCTTTTCAGTAATATAAAATTAGCTAATATGCTGCATCAATAGAGGAGTTATTATCACCAACTCTCCTCTCCCACAATTGGTGAAATAACCAATTTTTGTCCATTATATCAAAATAACCAAATATCCATTATATCTTTTGCTTTATAATTTCATATTCTCCAACTTTTTATCGACTTCTTCGATGTTACCAGTTTCAAGCAAAAAAGTTCCATACTATAGACATTTTTATTTAAGCCAAAAAAAACTGTTTTCAGTTTTATTCTTGTCATCTTCAGCTGATAAGCGGATAAGCAAATAAAATATTCTTAGTACTCAGTATTTTGAAATAGTCGGGATAGAAATAACGAGTTTTAAATCGTGGATCATCTTGACAGCGAATCTTTTAATCGTTAAGTGAACGATCTTATGCTTTGATATATACTGAAAATTAGAATAATTTAATAACTAGAAAAATACCTTTTAGTGCACTTTTTCAGAGGTAGTGGTCATTTTTCTACCAAAATTATTTTTCTCTTAAAAATTCCTTGGCATTCTCAATTTTCATCAAAAAATAAAAGGTATTTTTTATTAAAAGTAAAAATAAAAGTACTGAAAGAAATTTTCGCAAAACGTCGAATGCTAATAATGTTAAAAATAATAATATTAATAATAATAATAACGATAATAATAATAATCTTTCATGCCAGTTTATTATTGTAACACAAAACAAAACTCAGCGTGCTGCAGAGGAAAAATTCGTGAATTTACCGGCTTATTCTAGCTGGAGTTTTTACTTTCAAATGACCATTGGAAACCGCTTGATTTTACTAATCGCGAGGTAAACCAAATCACCAAATGATGACCACTTAATATTTCACTGATATAACAAAAATTTCATGTTCTTTACAACAAATATGAGGGTAGGATAATTGCTTAATTTTTCTCTGCCTTTGAGGGCAAAATCAGCAAATTTTTCGTGTACCTCGTATAATGCCTCGTCTCTAAATTAATTTTGAGAAATTTTATTACGACAAATTACTTATCCTTCATATTTAAAGTTATTTTTCGCATAATAAAAGATTGGAATATATGAGAAAAAAGCAAAATTCTTACGGATTGAAATGAGTTGCAATCGTTACAGCTTAAGGATTATATGGAAATATAGTACCACAAGCAGGTGAATCGATATGTTCAATTCTTTCACTACACTTTTTCATCACCACGATTCACGCCATAAATAAGCAAAATAAAGAAACAAAAATAAAATAGCATAGCATTTCCAAGTAAGAAAACTTTTCGAACGAAATATTTGCACATCTTCAAAACATTAACGACAAATACAATTTTTTCCGGAAATTAAATTCCGTGGATTTCATTTTTCTTTGTTTTTTTGTTTTTTCATTGTTTTAATTATATTCAAAAATAAAATTGAAATGGGAAAAGTTTTTCAACGAGAAAAGAATTTTAACGAAAAGTATATCGAAAAAATTTGATATAAAATAGAAATTATAAATTTTATAAATTCGTAAAATAAATATCTAAATAAAAACAAAATAAATAAAAAATAAATATAAAAAAATAAATAAATAAAAATAAAATAAAACAATAGTATATCTCATTGAATAATCAATCGTATTTTTTAACAATAGAATTCTCAGTTAAAATTTTCGAGATACTGTAGAAAGCGATTCATCGCCTTTAGAACAAAACACTTGTAGGATTTATCGCGAAAATGCTAATCGCGATTTTCCGCGAATCGTAAAATTTATTTTAGCAAAATTAAAATTAGCCAATTTGGCATACCCTTACACAACCCTTAAAAAAATTAAAAACTATGCTTATATGGATTTTTTCAGAACTATAAGAGGACGTTTTATAAACGAATTATTCTTTTCTCATCGATTCCCTAAGAATTTTTATGCTGAATTTTGTTCGATCATAAAATTTAGCAAAACTTTAGCGGCAATTTTAATTCATTTTAGCTCAAAAATTTTTAATAAGAAACTAAATTTATGTGGGTGAAATTTAAAAAATTTCGAAAATTTTAAATCTGAAATGATTTAAAATAAAAAAAAATCTAAAATATTGTTTCGCTTTATAAATTTTTTTTTTATAATTACTAGTGTATTATAGCGATTTAAGGTCGAATTTCAGTATAACTGAAAGCAATGGATTGAAGTTATTTATTATTGAAGACCTATTCATAAATCTAAAAGATTATTCGTCCTTGATTCTTCAGCATTGTTAAGGCAAAATTGAATGAGACATTTTTGACGCTAAAACTATCCGTGGAATTGAAATTAAAGATTTATAAATCATTTAGAAATTACTGGAATAATAACTTGCTTTGCAACGAGATTCTCTTTTAGCTCCATTTGCATTCACTTTTTTTTAAGAAAATTTAAATATGGTCGAAATGAAATGAAATTATTTTAATGTATTTAATTTCGAATAAATTCGTTATTTTCATGTTTCTTTTACTATTAGTTTAGTTATTATTAGTTTATTTTATATTGTTTTTATCAAATTTGTTTCAATTATCAGATTATCAAATTCAAATTGTCGAATTATCAAAATTTACAACTATCGATTCACTTAATTTATCGCATATTTGACTAATCAAACGATTGATTGTTCTCATATGTTCATGCATTAGCTATTTGATCAAAACAAAACACCTTGCTTTGTCCTACTTCTATGTTCCTTTATGCGTAAAATTCTTCATTTCCTTCATCTATCTTCAAATATCTGGTCGAGAATTTTTTCTATCGCGTAGTATTCAATAAGATAATTAGAAATTGGATCTTCTTTAATACGTTAATATGCACTAATATATTATTTAGTAATTAATATATTATTACAATATATTAATATAATATTTTTATGCCACGGGCATTGCTACTGATATTTCCAACTTTCAGTAAACCAAGCGATAAGCAACAAAACTAAGAATTGTAACTGAGCTGAACATGTATATCCAAATAAAATAATTTGTTCCTCAATTTTTTTTTCGATTTCAACAGCGCGATAAATAAATAAAAACTAAGGAAAGTCTAAATCGTTCGCTCGATTGCCCAATTTTTAATCTTTTAAAGATGCATCGCCATAAATAAGAAAAAAAGGTAAAAAAATTCCACGAACTCAAATAATCCGACCATAGTTGCTATATTGCAAAAAAGAAATTTTATTCAGTTAATATTCAATTAATAAATCAATTTTGAAAAGTTCTCCCATTTTAACACAAATCAAATTCTCAAAGAGACAATTTTGCCGCTTGAAAATCTTTTTTATGGCTGACAATGGCCACAAGTTAAACGGCATTTACCTCTCATTACAGTTGCATAAGGTTCTATTGTGCAGTATCTTCTATTTTCTGAACATTGCTGGTCGTCATCGCGACAATTTGATTGTGCTGCTGTTGCATTTTGATTGTCTGAAACGCAAAATTGTCAGCAGTTCAAATAATTTAATATTCTTTTATAGCATTGGTCCATTGGCCAAAATCACCCTTAAGTTACGTTAAGTTTACCTAGGCAAGTTCTTAATCCACATGTTTTTTGACAAGAATTCTTCGCTTTCTCATCGAGGCAAATCACCGGCGCTAGAGCTGTGCAAACTGCATCGTCAAATGTGTTTGGGCACATTCCACCTGCTCCTGGTCTGTCACAAAGCCCGCATCTCATTGGGCACCTCATTAATGCTATTGTATTGAGAGATGCATTCCTGCACATCTCCAATGTGAAAGCCTCACAATGATTGCCTGCGAATGGATCTGCAATGCAAGTAAAATAAAATAACCGTAAGCTCTAAACTAATTCAACGAATTTACTAACCATTGGCACAGTTAAATTGTTTTGCTTTACAGCAGAATGCGCAGAGACTTGGGCAACTTCTTTGTGCAAAATCTTTCAGAGAAGCATGCGTACAGTTTTCGGGTATTTTGTAACTCATGGCTCTGAATTATTGAGAATTTTAAGGGCAAATTACCTAATATTTTTTCTGAAACTTATTATTCATATCCAAAGTGTTAAAAAATACATTTTACTAGATTGGAGATAATATGTAAAGAAAAAGCAAATTACGGGTCTCTGTGAGTTGGAATCGTCCCTGGCGCATCATGGTATGGAAATATAGCAGCACAGGCAGGTAAATCGATATGTGCACAAAGGCTTGGATCGACAGTTGGCCGCTGTTGTCCTCCCACATCTCTATTGCAGTTTTCTATCGCCTTGTCGTTACCACTTTTTACGCCATGGACGAGAAAAACGAAGAAACAAAAATACAACAGCATTTCGGGAAAAAAAATTTCAGATTAAAATACTTGTGCATCGCAAATGTTTTTGTACCTATTTTTATGGAAGGTATATGAATAAAATATCGTAACGAAATCCATTATGCAAAAATATTTGTTCATCTGCAACTATCCATTCGTACCCAGAATTATTTTTCATTATTCATCAAACCATTTTTTTTCGTTCATTTTTAAATTGTTAATTATTATATTAATTGAATTTCTTATCATTATCAGAGAAAAAAGTTGTCTTTCCTTCATATGTGAGTTAGAACTCGAATCATGCTGACTATCCACTTATTCTTCTGTCCACGGATGGTTCCTTGGCGTAGACAACTTCTCCTACGAGTCGATGAAAGCATTTAAACGAGCTAACAGAAAGAAAATTTTTTAAATATGTTAAGATAAGCCTTGCTGAGTAGTAAACCGATCTGCAAATTCACTCCAGAAAATGAATTAACATTAAAAAAAAGGAAAATATGATAAATTTAGATGAGATGAAAAGTTTAACCTCGCTGATAAGCGAATATCGTTTGAAAAAATCATACACTGACTTGTGAAAAATTGCATATATATTGTATAATTTATATACATAAATTTTATTTGATAAAATCACAAAAATGAAATATCTTCAAACGTCAAAAAACGAATGAATTTCTTTTTTTCCGAAAATACAAAGAAGTGCTCAATGGATTTTTCAAAAATCCAAATCCAAAGTAAAAAAATTTCGACAAGAAAAACGCTACAAATCACGCTGAACGCTAAACAATTATGGGTGATAAGATATGAGGATTTTTACTTTTACGTGGTTTTGCTTTTCGATTTGACATTAGACTTAAAGAAACGACATGTGCGTGAATTTCTCTTGTAGGTGACGAAAAACATGGCAATACCAGCGTAGACGACGCATTACAATGATAGTTAGAAAGACGGTATTTAATTGGATGTGGATGTAAGACCTTGTCCACTTAGCGAGTATATATCTTAGGCAAGAGTCAGTATTCAAAACCAGATTTCTCTCTTCACTCTCACTGGCCATGTTTCGCAGATTTCTAGCAAGATTGTGCGCACTAGAAGCATATTTCACGGCTAGTCCAGTGAGGTTTTACCAGATGGAAGTGTTATACCTCTGAAGTGTTTCACCTACCAACATAAAGAATATGTGTGGATTCGACATACTTATAATTTGAATTTCTTCTATGATTAGCGAACATATGTGAAACGCGTTCTTATCAGCGCCTGCTATGCAAGAGGAAAAGAGTTTCGCCAAATTTATATCGATTTAAAGGCATGAAAGGCTAATCGAACGGTAGTTCACATGCGTTCCTTACCTTCCAGCATTGTTTTTGAACAATATTTTATTTTTTCCTTTTCTTTCCTCTCTTATCCCAGACTTGGCTCGAAATTGAAATTTTCCAAGAAATGATTGAGGCACACAGATCCAGAAAAATCCAGGAAAGAACTCAATTTCATGTTAATGTATTAGAATCTTTTTAAGACTATATTTTACGAATCTTCGATATCATTTCACAATGAACCAGAAAACTAATCGATGTGGTTTTGCAAAAACATGAATGCCATATTACAGAAAGAAAATTTATTTAAAAGTCAACATTTATGAAATTTTTCCCATTTTAACACAAATCAAAGTACGAGACAATTTAATGTAGGAAAGTTTCTTTATGGTTGACAATGGCCGCAAGTTAAACGGCATTTTCCTCTCATTACAGTTGCATAAGGTTCTATTGTGCAGTATTTTCTATTTTCTGAACATTGCTGGTCGTCGTCGCGACAATTTGATTGTGCTGCTGTTGCATTTTGGTTCTCTGAAATGCTAAATCCTTAGCGGTAGTTTATTATATTTTTATCGAGCATGGGAATAATAAGTTATATATGAAAACAATTGGCAGTTCAATTAATTTAATATTTTTTTATAGCAGATTTGGTCCATAATTTGGTCCAAAATCATACATAAGTTTTGTTAAATTCTTAAACCTAGGCAAGTTCTTAGCCCGCATGTTTTTTGACAAGAATTCTTCGCTTTCTCATCGAGGCAAATCACCGGCGCTAGAGCTGTGCAAACTGCATCGTCAAATGTGTTTGGGCACATTCCGCCTGCTCCTGGTCGGTCACAAAGCCCGCATCTCATTGGGCACCTCATTAATGCTATTGTATTGAGAGCCGCATTTCTACACATCTCCAATGTGAAAGCATCACAGTGATTGCCCGCTGATGGACCTGTAATTTTTTGTTTTAGAGTCCAATATTAGTTAAACTCGCTCAGCTGTCTTGTCGCACTGGACAAATATGGCAGAGAGACCCTTAGCGATAGAATGACAGATGAGTCGGCAGCATCACCCTGATGGATCTTTAATGGATAAAGGAGGCGTTTTTCTTTTCATACCACTGAAATATTAATAAAAATTTATAATTTTAGAAGCGTTAAAAGAATTTTTTCACCATTAGCACAGTTGAATTGTTTTGCTTTACAGCAGAATGCGCAATGACTTGGGCAATTTTTTTCCGCAAAA